TATATATATATATATATATATATATATTATGCGGGGACCCAAAAATGGGTTACAACATTGCTAGTTCTGGGTTTGTAACGGGAATGCCCACATGTGATGCACTTGATTAGCTCAACATTTTCAAGGTAGTATAACATGCAGAAGTTAGGGCACATGTGAATTTTCTGGTATCCTAAACTAAAAGGTTTCATCATGGACTTCGTAACATAGAAGTTTTCTTTCAGCCTGTTTCCTTCAGGTAAAATGCTTCTCGCCAATTAAATAATTTTGTTATACTTAGCCTCTCTCAACCAGTGATCTGACTTAATGGTGAAAACCTATGCTACGGTCAATTATTTATTGTGGTTCGTGCAACCATCCCATAATGGTTCGTTAAAATATTTCAACAAATCAAAAAACCTAGCTACATCTATATTAGGTTCTTCTTCTAAAATTGGACATTGACTGACATTACCTTGATTCATTCTCATTGCATCCATAACCATATTCCTATAAGGATTAGTGTTGTCAGTTACTGCTTCATGCATGTTGCTAGCACTAGAAGTTGACTCAACCACCCTTTCTCCCATGCTCTTATTACGAACAAATACTTCTCCATATGTATACCAACACTGGTAATTCTCCGTAAACCCTTTGTGTAAAAGATGCATCATTATAACATCTAGATGCAGATACTTTTTATTTTGACATTTCCTGCATAGATACCTAATACCGTCTCAACTAAAATTTCTGGGAATAGATGTTGCAAAATTAGTAAAACCCTGAACCTCGTTATAATAATCCATCCTCCGCAATCCTTGGAGTGAATCTTGATACGTCCATGAACAATCATCCATGACTTCTATCAAACATGTATAAATTTATGATAACAACATGTATTAATTAACTACGTTAGGAAAATAAATTTTCAAAAATATTGGTTTACTATGAGATTATCTAACAAACTAATTACAACTTCTCATAAATATTAAATATTCATTATCAATTATCAACTTCCATATAAATTAATACATATAAATTTACAGAAATTACAACTTTGCAATACCATTGATAAAAATTAAAACAGACATGTTAAACAAGCTATTAATTATTTTAAAATAACACATGTAATTCGATAATTCAATAAAGTTTCAAAAATTTACAAACAAATACAATTTTATAAAATCTAAAACAAACCATAAAAAGTACAAAATTATACATTCATATACTACAAGTTTGTTTGAGAAATAACAATTGACACTATACATATACTAACAAAATACATGTACTAAAAAAATAATAAAATTGGCATTTAATTGTTAAAATTTAAAAAGATAGAATTACTTACAAAAATTGATAAATTCCGTTAGTAAATCAGAACCGGATGCTATGACCACAAAACCTAAAGAAATATGACTTGTGTTGAGAAGAGGGAGATTTTTTTTTGGGGGGGTAGGGGCTAGTTGTTTGTAGTAGGGGAGAGTTGGGATGGGGAAGAAGAAGGAGAAATAAGGGAGGAGAGGGTTGACAAAGTGGTCATCTATTAACTTTTGCCAATAGAATTACCGACGGACAGTTTCTGTCGGTGATTTTGTCAGCCATTCTAATTGTGACGTCACTGTACGGAGATTCCAGTTTGAATCCCTTGATGATTCTATTGGCAATTCGGACGGTGAATCAACCACGTCACTATATGGAGCTGCTGGTTTGATTCCCTTGGTGATTCCATCTGTAAAATCACCAGCAAAAACCTTCACGTCAATGAACCACCCTATTTTTAAATTTTGAATATTTCGTCTGTAATTCCATCGGTATATACCAACCAAAGTAGTCCGCTGATATATAATAACAGAATTACAGACAGAAAATATGTTGTCGGTAATTATGACCGCAAATTACCAATAGAAATCCTTTGTTAATAATACTGTTGGTATATTATCGGTTAGTATCAAATGAATTTCTGATAGTGTCCTCACGGATCCTTAGTTTCACATGCTGGAGAAGAACTGCCACTGTTGGCTGTTTACTAGCCTGGCCATCTTACTGCATTCAATTGCTTTCATTGAATTCCTCTAATAGGCTGTTTACTAGTCTGCTTTCTCCTTAGTTAGGATGTATAAATTAAATTGCTCTCGGTGGCTGTTTACTAGTCTGCTTTCTCATTCATTGGGATATATAAATTCAATTCCTCTAAGAGGCTGTTTACTATTCTGCTTTCTCATTAATTGGGATATATAGATCTTTCGTTAGTCAATTGGGTGTTGCTTTCATTTGACGTGAGAAGCAAGGCGTTCGTCTAATTGCCTGTTTACTATTCTGCTTTCTCATTAATTGAGATATCTAGTTAGTGACTTGTGGTTGAGACCAAGGGCATTTGTATATTTCATTGGGTTTTTTTAAATCAGGATGGTTTATTTTTAATTTTGTAATTTAATAAATATAAATAATATTAAAAAAATGGTTGAGAAGTGCATATGAGTGTATGGGCGGTCTCCCCGCACTTTAAATGGCAATTGTAAAGTTATTCATTGACCAAAGGCCATCGTGGATGAGGCAGCCTGTATGGTAGATAGTTATTCGGTTTGGTGTCGACAAACTTTTTTCTTCTTTTTTTCCTTTCTTCTCTCCCCTTGATTTTCATGTGTCCCTTCAAAATTTCAAAGCACGCTTTTAATTTATTATTTCTTTAAATTTGATTCCTGTTTTTTTATTTATTATTTGTTTTATGTGAAAAAATTTGTAAAATTGGAATTCTTTGACAATTTTATCCCTTTTCAGTTTTTGAAATAATGTCTCACAATCAACCCAACATTATCAAACTTGTGGATTTGGAATAATTCCAGAGTTACATTCGTTCCGGAAGCAGGGATAATTTTGAAGAGTGTCGCATTCCTCACGGCTCCTCAGTTTCACATGCTGGAGGAGAACTGCCACTGTTGGCTGTTTACTAGTCTGGCCCATTCCTGCATTCCGTTGCTTTCATTCAATTCCTCTAGTAGGCTGTTTACCAGTTTGCTTTCTCGTCAATTAAGATATTATTTGACATTGCATTTTGAAAATAATTTTTAAAAAAATTGATTTTTTTTAGTTTTTTCTTTGTTTTAAATTAATATTTTTAAATTATTTTGATATGCTAATATCAAAAATAATATTTAAAAAATAAAAAAAATATTATTTAAATATATTTTAAAATAAATTTACTTTAAAAAATAATCGCCTCTCACATTCTCAAATATACTAAGACTCTTTCATTGGTCAATTATACTGAGACTCTTTCATTGGTCAATTGGATGTTGCTTTAATTTGCAATGAGAAGCAAGGCGTTCATCTAGTTGCCTGTTTACTATTATGCTTTCATATTAATTGAGATATCTAGTTAGTCAATCGTGGTTCGAACCAAAGACATTTGTATATTTCATCGGGTTTTTTTAAAAATAGGATGGTTTGTTTTCAATTTTGTATTTTAATAAATATAAATAATATTAAAAAATGATTGATAAGTGCAGGTAAGTGTATGGGCTGTCTCCGTGCACTTCAGGTGGCAGGTGTTGGGTCTTTTGTTGACTAAAGGTTGTCATGGATGAGGCAGCATGTGTGACAGATAGTTGTTTGGTTTGGTGTCGACCAGCTTTTTTTTTCTTCGCTTTCTCTCCTTAATTTTCACGTGTGCCCCTTCAAAATTTCAAAGCATGCCTTCAATTTGTTATTCCTAGATTTAGTCTTTGTGTTTTTAATTATTGTTTGTTTTTTTAGAATAATTTATAAAATTGAAATTCTTTGACAATTTCATTCCCCTTTGGTCTTTTCATCTTTTAAATTTTATTCCTATTTTTTTTTTTTTTTATTTAAAATAATTTTTTAATTTGATTTGTTTTACAATATCATCTTTCATAAGTTTTTTTTTTTCTATAGGATTTTTCACTTATTTTAAAAATAACTTGGGATATCTCGAGTATTTTTATTTGTTGTTTTTTATTTTATTTTTTTTATAGATAATTTTTTCATTTAATATACTTTAATTAATTCAATAAATATAAGCATGTAATACTCATTTCATAATATTTTGAAATACAGAAAAAAACTTTATTGGGTAGAAATAGTTGTATTGGCATGGACAATCATTTTATTAAATAGAAAATTTATTCAAATAAAAACAATTATTAACAACTAGGTACATGCTCCGTATTGCTATATCAAATATTTTAATTTATATTTATCTTTTAATTTTTCTAGTTTAGTCTTTACTTATTATTAACAGGTTCTTTTATATTTATTAGCACAGATAATTCTTGATTTGTTTAATTATTTGTATGCGAAATAAATTTTGAATTGCTATTTTTTATTAAAATAAATCACAAAAAAATTAGAAATAAATTTAGATAATTAATATTATGCATGGGATAACTTTTTTTAAATGCATCGTGGAGGTAACTTTCCATTTCAAAGGATACGATAAGAATGATATCGATTTTTCTTAGACTTAACTAGTTCATTGTGTAAATCTCTAATCAGTATTTATTTTTGAATTTTAAATTTTTTAATTAATAGTGGAGATTTATTTTTTCTTTAATTTTGAAGAATCTCGCATTCGTAACGGTGTGATAATTTTGAAGAGTGTCACATTCATCACGGCTCGTCTGCTGGACCAGAGTTACATTCAATATTCAGATGGGTGTTGCTTTCATTTGACGTGAGAAGCAGGACGTTCCTAAAATTCTGTTTACTAGTCTGCAAATTTAACAAGTCTGCAAATTTAACACTATTTATTAAGTCTGCTCATTTCATAATATTTTTAAAATATAGAGTGTTTCTTGCTTACCTCAAATCACTTGAAAGATACTGAAAGGGTCTTAACTCGACGCATCTCGGCGATGGAGAGTCGTATGCCCATTGCTATAATTACCTTCACCCTCGTCATCTTCCTCTATGGCAAGTAGTTTTACAATATTAAATACATTAGATTCTTGCATGGAAAACTCTATTATGCATATTATTCACTTTGATTATTCTACATATATATTTTGTGTTTAAATATGCAATATTAATTAGTTTTCATTATTCAATGGATTTCGTGAATCCAATAAACTTATCCAGGAGGGAGTTTCCAGATAAAAAACAAAAAAGAAAAAAAAATTAAACAAAAACCTGGGTTATGTTACATTTTTAAAACAAAAATAAGTGAATTAATACAAGATTTTAAATATTGAATTATGTTATCTTTGAACTGACCAAGATTTAATTATTGATATCAACAAAAATAAATCTTGCGCAGCTTGCCCGCATGCAGGAGCTCAATCTGTGACTTTCCACTTCACAAACAACTGTCCATACACAGTCTGGCCAGGAATTCTGACGGCTGCTGGCGGTCCGTCTTTATCTTCAACTGGCTTCACATTGGCAACAGGTGCTTCATCTTCGCTAAGTGTCCCTGCAACATGGTCTGGTCGCTTGTGGGCCAGAACACAATGCTCAACGGATTCCTCAGGAAAGTTTGTTTGTGCTACTGCTGACTGTGCCTCTGGTGCCATAGAATGCAATGGAGCCGGTGCGATCCCACCAGCATCCTTGGTAGAATTTACTCTAAGAGGTGACGGTGGGAAAGATTTTTACGATATAAGCCTTGTTGATGGCTTTAACATCCCAATTTCGGTAACCCCGCAAGGAGGTTCTACTGGCTGCCCTTCTACAAGCTGTGCAGCTAACGTGAATGCTGTTTGTGATCCTAGTTTAGCAGTGAGAGGATCAGATGGGACTGTGATTGCCTGCAAGAGTGCGTGTTTGGCATTTAACCAGCCGCAGTACTGCTGCACAGGAGAGTATAATACACCTGACACATGTCCTCCTAACCAATATTCGATGACTTTCAAGCAGCAGTGTCCTCAAGCTTATAGTTATGCTTATGATGATAAATCGAGCACGTTTACTTGTCCTAGTGGAGGCAACTATTTGATTACCTTTTGTCCATGATCAAATGTCGTGGTTCACAACTCTTTCTTTTTATGGAAAGAGTTGGATGACAACACATTTAATAAATGTTTTTATGACAATTAATAAATAAATGGAATAATAGATTTGGGATTGACATATCCCAAAAGGATCGATTATCAATTGTCATGCCGTTGATATGGTAAAACTGTATGCCATTCATTATCAATTAAATATTTTCAGTTCATTGGTCAAGGTAGCAATCCTTCACTTATACGTTAGTGAAAGTTAAGAATAATTAGGAGGATTAATTTATTGGTTAACCAACATTCTATATATATATATATATATATATATATATATAT